GAATTTACATGGTGTGTGGTTTTACAATGCATAATGGCTTGAATACGACAAGCAATTAGAGTCGGGATGCTTGATGTACTATTTCTGGCCTTGGTACCGATCAGAGGTAAACTTGACATGCCACATGGCTCCACCAGCGTCTTACTGGTAATGCATAATTAACACGAGAGGAAGAAAGCAGGAATACAAAATTTCAGAAGCTTTCAAATTACCTTCAGCTGTATAGCTAGCTGGAAACACAAGCCAAGTCATGTTAGGGCAAATTGGCCTCAAGTTGACTGCAGAGCATCCACCCCATCTATTGTATTGTATAATTCATTTTCCCGTAAGCGGTGCCCTGGGAGATGAGGGACAAACAGAAATGTGATGATATCAGCACAGCCATAAAAATACTTCATTGTCACCAGAAAACGTCTGGCGTTGGAAAGAGGGCTCGGATTAGAGGACAAAGTCTGGACTAGAATAGAGAGTATGCTCTATTACCAGCGTAGTGCAATAATGTAGCAGGAGGCCATAAACTAACAGCAGTGAGGCTTCCTGTCACAAAATGGAGCAACATGCTAGGGGAAAGCTTCGGGCTGCTGTTAATGTAATTGATAGTAGAGAGAGGGGAGAGAGGGAGGAAGAGGAGGAGGGATGCTCTACAGCTTAACAAACACAAAGCCTCCAGGGCTTAAGAGAATAGAGGAATGTCAACAATGGGACAAACAGGGCATGTCACAACTTTACTGTCCATTAAAAATAGGACAGACAGTCAGAGGGGACAGGCAAGGACTCCGTCCAGCGGGGACGAGGGTTTGTCTGTTTGTCCTACACTTTGATCAAGAGCACCACATTCCTCTTGCGGTGGTTGGCAGGGGCGTGCTCGTCTCCCCTTAAAAGATTTATCTCAACATACCCATCTTGCCTGCTGATTAAGCTGCATGAATTAGGCTTTTAAAGAAAATCTCATTATATAAGAGGAATGAATTCCAAATCAACCAAAACAATCTCTACTTAGAAAACATGAAATAAACAGAGCTGACACACAAAAGGAATGACTATACTGTTAACACAAAGGTAAAGAGGGGGAAGGAAGAAAAGCGCACTGCTCACACCGAGAACAATTTGACAGTATTAATTATACACAGAAGAGGGTACTTTTCACACAGAGGCATACGAGACAAGGTTACCTTCCACACATTTAAGAGCATTAATTATGCGCAAAAGAGAGCGTAGTTCAAACAGAAGCAGACAAGACAATGGAGCTATTCATAAATACAGCAATTTGAAAGCACTTGTTATTTTTTATTGAGTCAAAAAATGTATTTTGCTTACACAAGAGAGAGAGATTTTGACTCATGAACAATCTTTTTTATTGTGTTGTTTTCCAGGTTTTCATATTTGTAAGATGCAATGTTTACATATTTAGGTTTATTGCATTTCCCTCTCTTTAAACTTGGCTCTCACTGTCAAACCTGCTGAATGATTGAGGTGCATACCAGGC